CGAACTGGTTACCCTTTAATCAAGCACATCTATATTTTTTAATTGGCCTCTTATCTGTGCTCCAGCGCATTCGATAATCTTAATATGCCTTCAATATGATCGATGTAACGAGTTAAAGCAATTTATGTTTACAAGTAGCCATTAAAAGAAATTAAAAAAATTATGCATTGCCTATGCTTGCCAGTGGAATTCCCCCCCCCCCCCCTCATCTTCACATGAAAACGGAACAATTTCGTGAAATAGTATACAAAGAAAAAAAAGCCATTAAAGGGAATCTTTTATTGTAAGCCTAAACCGATCCTCATAACAAGTCGACCAATTGTTTTAATTTGTTATCATTAACGCTTTCAAGTAAGATATCTGTTACAAGTTGTTTATGTTATTTCAACATTTTGTATGTCATCAACAATCAAAACATAATTAATAATAATTTTAATACAATTCCTGTTGTGAACCTTTTTTTTTTTTTGTTTTTTGGTTTCTTTGGTGGCTCAGGTCTTTCAACCTAAGTATGTGTGCTATGCTGTTGTATTAAAATTGCATACATATTTTGCACCTTTATATTGAACATAAATACAGATATAATATACATATATATACACATATATATGCGTGTATTTGTTTAGCTATGTGCAACCACATGTTTTGTTATGCACTTGAGCGCTTTGTACATATTTTTGTTTTTATTTAAATGCAAAATTTTACAAAACAGCTGCTAACAGGTTTTTGTTTTTATAAATTACTTGACTTTATACCACTCACACCCATTCATACATTAAAAAATGCATAGATATGCATATATTTATACATGTGTACATATTTGTGATATAATTATTTAACTAGTAACTGTTTAACTTATGTACGTCTGTCCGTAAGTTATACAATCAAAGTCTTAGTTTATTAGTTTTTCTGCCGCCTAAGGCAAATAAGGAACAAAAAAAAAAAAACAAAAATCAAGAAACCGAAGAAAAAAATGATTAGTTTTTTAAAACGAGCCTGAGTAACAATTAATTGATTATGCGAGTAAGTAAGTGAAGTAGCGACAATTGTAACAATATGCAAATTAAGCAGAGTCGTTCAGATTTCAATCGTTCAGGACCGCACTATATACAAAATGCGTTTCTTCGAGGGTATGGGCCCTGATTTTTCAAATTCAATTTACATAGCGGTTTTTTTTATGAGCTTGCAAACATTTTTTATTCGCTTTGGAAAGTTTAACTAGAACTAAAAAAGATGCCAAATTGATTGAATAAAGTCTGTCTGCTTGAGGGCGTACTTTTGCTTTTCCTTAAATCATAGACGCTATGGACTTTCAAAGTAGAATTTTTAAACCTTAAACCTATTTTTTGACATTGTTGCTAGTATAAACAAAGAAAAGTGTAATTTCTGTGGCGAAGCAAATCAGTTGAGTTAATTAAGAGCGGGAAAGAGGACTAGTTCAGAACATGTTTATGACGTTATGATGAATTCACTATTGTATAGTATTCTCCGAAATGGTGAGATTGAAAATGAATAATAAATATGCCGCAGACGCGTGCTTAAAATATTCTTACGCTTTCAAGCAATGTGCGTCGGTTGCCCAGATCATGTGATATTTTTCCTTTCGACTTGCCTTAAGTAGACTCATATAAACCGCAAAATAATTTGGGACTTGAAGAAGAAAAAAAAGAAAAGTTCAGTGCTAAGATCAGTGCTACATATAAATTGCCGTGATTTTAAGATTTTTTGTATTTTAACTGTGAATAGGTTACGCCTTCAATTGTGCGGATTACGTAATTCAGCTGAATCTTCATTGCTCTGAGGTACTTGCAAATAAATAAATAAACAAATAAAAGAAAAGTAATTAAAAACAAGTAAAAACACTGTAATGGGTCGCGGCTCACCATTAAATACCCTACGTCACGACAAACGAACAAACAGGCGAACGGGCGTGCCCATTTCGTTTCAGGATAGAAGACTGATCGGGAACTTGTACTTTATAGGGTATCGGAACATTCGTTCCGCGCGTTGTAAATGTTTTGAAGAAATAGTTGCGGTCGAGCCTGTAAAAAATTAACCGCAACAAAAACTCTAAGAGTCCTGTGAATAATTTCCACCTTGTGCGAATTCTTTTCGCAGTGATATACTTTTAGGTATCAATCCGTCCGTTCGCGTTGAAAAGTGTCTTACTCGCAGAAACTGCAATGCAAAGCTGAATTTTGTGGAAATCAATTCTACAAATTAAATTTAAAAATAAAAAAAATATGTACATATATATTGCATATATATATATATATATAAACTATTAAGCTAAAGTAACCTTAGTACTGAAGTTGAAAATTAAAATGTATTTCACTTAATGGCCTGCAATTTACGGAAGATGTAGTTTTAATGTTTTCTCAAAGAAATTTAAAATTTATGATGAAATATGTTTAGCATTAGTCTGTCCATTTCTTCGTTTGTTTTTGGGATTTTTCATATTTTCATTTTTGAGTCTTGACATTATTTTGGCGGAAGGCAAACTACTTACTATTCCCATATACGTGGAAGTTGTAAAACAGAAGCACAATATAATGTGATGCCAGTTGCTTACGACTTACGAAAAGCATTAATCAGAAATTTAATTGCAAGTTGCTTAAAAAATCGACGCAGAAAACGTTCCAATCTTCTCACATATGCGTCCCTATATATTGCGGCTCTGAAAGAATCGACGCAAGGCGGTGTTGTTCTACTTAGGCAGCCGCTGGGTATTAAAGTTACCTTAAAAGTGTTGCAGAAAAACTTCTAACCAATAAATCTCAATTTCAACAATTAATTTGTATTCGGAAAAACTATAATTGAAACTGGGTTAAGTGGTAAATAATAAAAATGCAAAAATATAGAAAATAAAAAAATAGAGAATGAAAAGCGAAACTAACCTGGCGTTAATCAAATCGCCTTTGGCAATAATAAACATTGTACGGAGACTCTACATAGCGATAAATTTTATGTCTAAATCAAATAGTTTTTGTTTTTCATTTACCCTCATAGATAAATAGCATATGTTTAGTTTAGTAACGTTTTGAGATAATAACACGAGACAGACGTAAAATATATTTCATACGAACTAAGTAAACAAATATAAATAAATAAGTAAATAAAAAAAAAGGGAGGGGAGGGGAGGGAAATAATTCAGTAGCATATTTATATTTGACTGAAATGGCTTTATTTAAATTAATATTAAGATTTCATTGTTTTTATTTACACATTTCGTGTGCGAGACATTTTTATCACAAGTGAATGAATGTATTTGAGTACTTTTAAGGCAATTATCTCTGTATAAAATATAATAAAAAAAAAAAAAAAAAAAAACAAATAGATGTCTTATGCATCAGTTTACATTTTTGACCTTTTCCGTTCTTTAACGTGCGTCATCTCCACCGAAGAATGGAAGAATATACGAGTTCTACGACATCTTTGCATCTATGTATTAGAGCATCTCGAAAATATTAAGCCCCAAAGAGTTACTTATGTCATTGTAAATGAACATGAAATATGTCGAAGAAATATTAGAGTTTTTTTTTCTGAAAGGCTTTTCTTTTACTACGTTACCCAATAAGTCAGTGTTCGCGGGTACAATTTACTTTAGCGGTAACTGCAGTGAATATTTAGTCGGTAAAGGCACAACCGATTGGGCAAGTACGCCCATTAGGTTGCGGTGAAGTACTTGTTCAACAGCATCTTTCAACAGGAAATTCTTTAATGCAAGGGGCTCTTCGGCACATCGGCTTGCATTTTGAAGGATTCTCTTCCGGTTTTATGATATTCCGATATACCCCTTAAATGTACCAAAAATAATCATTTACACTATAATTTGATTTGTGTGAGTGATCGAGTAGGTAAATAATCTCGACTAACAACTCAAATGTCGTAGATTCAAATCTCGAGTGCGGTAGAGTATTTAAGAAAGCCGATAGTCTTTAAAACTTTAGTCATTGAATTTATTTTTCTGGCTAAATTCATATTCATTTTCAAAAATTAAACAGAAGATTAGATAAATTTAATTTTCGGTTAACACCAAATCTTTTGGAATTCACATGCAAGAATTTATTATGTGTAAGGAAAAAACCAATTAAATCCCGCAGGTCGACAAGTTTTCGGTTGGGTTCTGGGACCCCCAAAATCTAATGTACATTGGAGTGTATAATGGCGCAGGGCTAACCTTATGCATATTCAATTTAGGAATTATATATATAGCAGTACCCGTAAGGATTTATGGGAAAAACAGTAAAAATTACAAAAAAGTGAGAAAAGAAAAAGAGAGAAGAAAAGTATGGTGGTTTACGGGCTCAGTTGAGCAGACTTCCTATACAAAACCGTAATTTTGGGCGAATTTTTGTCTAGCGTCGAGGTCGAACTTCGTTACACGTGCATATTGCTCCAATTACAGACCCCACGTTCGAAGGCTTCCATAATGCTTTCACAGGCGCGCTTACAAAAAGGCGAAATTCCAGTAGCCAAAGTGCTACTATCATGTCATCACACCTAGATTAAATTCTCAGTATGGTAGACCACACTTTGATCACGATTGGTGGGTGCTTGCAAGCGTCTCCCCAACTCTCTCTCTCTTTCTCTCCATTTTCCTACTTCTTTCTGATGTACAGCAAGCAGATTTTCCCTCATTGCTTGGTCATGAATTTAAAAGCAAAAAAAGGACTTTTAATATTTTGTTCGAACCCTAGGGAAAATCTGAAGATAATAAGATGGAATAGCAATTAACGATTGGCTCTAAAAGCTCTTTAATTTAGTGAAATGATAAGCAACGCAATGTAATATATATGTATATATATATGTTTATATATATATATAATATACAAGTAAAAAAAGAAAAATATATATATGTATATATATAAATGTATATGAACTTGAAAATTAAAGTAACATAAATTTTGTGTGTACAGATGTGTTCTTATGTATGGTTGGGCTGGCAGATTGCGTTGCTAATAACAGCTTAATTAATCCAATTAATTTAATCCAAACAGTAACTCTCTGCAATTCCGCAGTTCCAGGCCGGGTAGACCGCCTAAACGTGGACCTGTGGGCCTCTCGCTACCACCAACGCATCTAACGCAACATCCTCAACTTAAAAAACATCGCCTGGATAACGGTGATTATGCCTACGAGAACGGTCACATAACCGGTAAGCAATTTTTATATTAAAAAAAAAAAACTCGTAACGAAAGCAAAAAAAAAAAAAGGAAAAAAACAAAAAAGAAGAAATAAATTAAAAATCATTTTTCAGTTATATTGAACTTTTACTATTATTAGCGTTGCTGTTGTTGTTGTTGTTGTTGTTGTTACTGTTGAAAAGCAATATTCAGAACACACGTTAACACAAATATGCAACATATCTACATACATTGTTGTATCTTTTTCCGTAATTACAATTTTAAATGTTGCTTTTACTATATAATCTTGTCGAGAGAGTTTGCGAGAGTTGCGAGAGTTGTTGAAATATGACCATTTAATATGAGGTTATATACGAATGTACATATGAATGAATGTACAATCGTCTTGAGCAATTGCAACGGAATTGTCGGTACAAATGAATGTATGAACGGCATATACATACATGCATGCTTGGATGTTTATGCATATATAAAAACAACTGAAATTATTTTAAGCCTGGCAGAAATCAACAATCGTGCTGGTTTCAATTGCTGCCTGGCATTGTATCAAAGACATGGTTATTGATGTTGATGTTTAGTGGTGGCTAAGAAATGATTTGCAGTTTCATTAGGTTTATATGTAATTTCTTTTTATTATTTCGTTTTGCCTTTTCTTTATTATTGTTGTTGTTGTTGTTGGTTTTATTTCGTTTTTTTGTTTTCTTGCAAACACACAATTGATGGTTATAGGTATCTTCAATGTGCAGTCATTTTTGTGTCCATATGTATATATAAATATATATACAAGACTATATAGGCGTACGCATACATACTTAAAACCAGATTTTCTTTTATAGGAAGTCTTCAATTATGACTTGAGCAAGAAAACTATAAGACATACAGAGAAAAACTTTTTAAAATTAATTGATTTTCATTACTTAGCACACAGGTCTACACGACGAGAGACTTGTGTTTCTTTTGACATTTCAACTCCACCTACCGGTTTTAACGCTTTCCAGACTTTAAAGAAAATATATTTTTATAAATAATTCTTTAACCTTTAATGCGTTGAATGTGTTGAATGATTTGTTGATTTCTCTCTTTATATATATATATATATATATATATATATATCATGAAGTATCAATTCTTTCAATTAAAGGCAAAAAGAGAAAAATATCATAAATACCCGCTAATGCTTGCAATCAGATGTAGATATAATCGACTTTTAAGAAATTTTCTGCTTACTCACCGTTCAATTTGTCGGCTTAACAGATCAGCAGCAATCTTACACAATACTGCACATTCCATTTGATTTGTGTGGCGCTATCTTAACTTATTCTCACATCTTCCATAAGCGGCTTCTTTTTCTCCTGTCTTTGTTTTCTTTCTTTCTTGTAACAGTTGATCGTCTTTAAAAGACTTTTCTTCACGAAAGCAATGTCAGTATGTTATGGGCGTTGAAGGTTCGGTGATATGCAGAATTATTTCTTTTTCGAAATCTAAAATAAGCGAAAAACATTCTCAAGAATTATAAAAAGCAAATAAAATAATGACATTTAAATAAAATTTTTTGTTTAAAACAAAAACAAAAAATCATGTTCTCCGTAACAAATTTATTGGCACCATTCAAACCTGAATTGAGTGATAGATGTAAAAAGAAGGAATCAACACAATTCGTTCATCCATCTCCTTTAGTTCGCATTCAGGTGGATCGATCCAATAATATGGTTTACTACTAAGTCCAGAAAGTAAGACCAATTTAATTTTTTTTTTTTTTTCAAATCTATTCCGGCCGTTTTTTGTGAGTAATTTCAGGCAAACAACGCTTGACACTCAAAAAAAATTCCTTGTTAACAATTTGGCACTTCATAGCGTACAACTCCACGATAATCGGAGAATACTTTTAACATCACGTTGAATTTTGAGGGACTTTAAGGTGGTTTTTCGGTCTTGGCTCACCTCTCGCACCTCGATTCGAACAATTGACCGGTGATTTCCGGGTCGTATGCGTACATCCAAGTCTAATTACGGATGATAATGCGTTTTATGACGTCCGCATATTCAGAACTCATTAATTCACAGACATAGTAAACATCGGAAAAAATACTTTTTCCTTCACTTTCAATGAGAGTCTTATAAATTAATGGTGAAACATGTTGAAATTTTTGCTTCAATTGGTAAATGGGGATTTATTTCTAACCAAAAACCTCGAAAATCTTCTTTGAACCGACAGTTACATGAAACAAAAAATAATTTTTTTTTTTTTTTTAATTACACTTCATTATCATTATACTGGATAATAACTAATGTCGCTTTACACTTAATAATAATAGCAGTTTAATTTAATGATTTCCTATTGTAATATAATTTGTAATAAGAGAGATAATTATTGTTGGCTCGTTTCTTTAAAACAAAACAAAGAGCAATCACAGCAGACACAATTAAATTTTTCATATTAGTTTTAATTCATTTTGAAAATATTTCATATATAATTGATTAATTGATTAGATTTTATTGTTTTAAATCAAATCGTATTAAAAAGTAATTGAAAATTTTTTAAATACACAAAAAAATATTACAAAGGCAAGGTATGCAGTTTGAAGAATAGAGAAATGCGCACAGACAACGTCACGGACAAATTTTCCTCAATATAAAGTAGAGGATAGGAAAGCAACTCTTTATTACTATTTGAAGCATAGGGAATCGCCCACAGAAATAATATCCAAAATAGGTCTTGTATAGTAACATGTCGCCGATAAATATGAAAAGCAGAATGGGTAACAACTGTGATAAGCAAGGAAATTGCATTCAGATGCAGCCAAATCTTCTATATCCATCGCTGTCATCTTAAAAAAAAAAGGAAAAAAAAAAAATTGTAAAAATGAAAATTTCATATCCTTTAATATTAGAGGAGAGTGAACGACTTTTTCCAACTTTTCCACAGATATTAAAGGTTCGTCTATGTGCAAATTTTTGGCTCTGTATATGTTATAGTTTCTTGATTCTGAGCGAAAATTTCAATCATTTTTACTTTCTCAGTCTAAGTTGCCCCATGGTGTACACTTTTACCGAGTTAGTTCATTGTCAATACCAACCAGTCAACCGGTTCGCAACAGGTTCCAATTTTTGTTCCGATGTTTTCACTTTTACGCTCACGAAAATATTTACCATCGCCATTACTCGGACAGTTAAACGGACATACGGACATTCTTGGATCGAATCAGAATTTGTTGCTGTTCAACAATATATATATATATATATATATCCCTCATAGAGTCTTTGAAGTTTCTTTCTGGATATTGCAAGCATGTTGATAAAATGAACTCACTTCCATGAGATTTTTTTAAGATCTACCATTATATCATTAGGATATTCTAAGGTGACTTGTTTGTGTCAGACAGACAGTCGATGGAGACCTTATCAAATGCTTTCTGCGAAACCCGTGTTGATTTGGCCGCTCGTCATCACCCGTCTGACCTCTCAGAACCCTCTTAATCCTTTAAATTAAGAGCCAAACTCTCTTTTGCTACTCTTTTGCTATGACGTTGTCATATCGAAATATTTCTATCATTTTCCGCTCTGAAACCGACAGCTATCTGTAAGATAGTTGTTAACATTTCTTAAAATCATTCGCATAAAACTTCATATATCCCGTAATTTTTTTCCAAGTGAAAGAAATCATCCAATGTAATCATTTTATATGCAGATTTGCTAAGACGGAAAAAGCTGAAGGCTTTTACAATTGAATTTTCAAACTATTCCTCCCTTTGATATGAGATAAGGAAAATTTCGTGGCGTTTTTTCATCAAAATAAACACAAAAAGTTTTTCTTGCCTTTTAAATAAAATTTGTTAAATTAAATATGCGTCACAATGATCGATAGGCAGTCTTTTCTCGTTTTCGTGATAAAATCATTATTCAATTATTGTGGAATTTAGGGGAATTAGCGGCGAATGATTCAAGTGATGAGAGATTGAAATCCCTCATGTAGTTTTTTAGTCTGGTTGGTAAAGTTGTGAGCTGCTTGTGAAGATGCCAGCAATAGGCAGAAGAAAGAAGACTACCTTTATTTGTGTTCTTAATAAGTAATATATCTCATCGGCTGTAGCATTTCTAAGATCTCTAAAGAGAGGGATAAGTGTCATTCTTTCTTCTTTTGATGAGATTTAATGTTAGCATTTGTCATGGAGTTCGTCTAAGAGCTTGAGTTTATAATAACTGTCGACTGCTTATATGTGAATGACGCCCAAACCAATTTTAATTTTATTGACATTGTGTTTAGTCTTGAAATTCATTTCTTTTTATATAGCTAATACAATAAGCATAAGTACCATATATGCAGCAAATTAGAGAGACGCCTTTGGAAATTCCGAAAATATAATGGATAGTCACTCACTACTACTTTCGAAAAGCAATTGGAACGCGTTTTAGTTTCAAAAATGTAGTGCGTACTTCTTGTTGAAATCAAAATAATCAGCTTATCAGCAAGTAAGGAAATTATATTCAGCCGTATCGACTGCAATCACCAGATTTACCTTAAAAAAACCTTGAAGGAAATGAATTTTTGTTACTCGATGACGTTGGATGGAATTGGCACATCTTTTCCATTTTTGTACAGATACTGCAAAGTAACCTATAGCATATATTTGCAAATGTTCCTGACTGCATTTGTGCAGTTTATAAGTAAAAATTAAGAGAAAAAAATCAAATTATTTTTGCTTTTACAGATAGGTCTGTTCTCAGTTTGTTGTTGTATTGTGAGCTTCTGCTTTGACCGATTTGCCCCATTTTCAAGATCAATCTGCGTGTAAGAACTTCCCATGCTTTCGCCAAGTTCGAAGGCGATATTTTTAGTTTTTTGATCAGGAAATTATTTCTTACAAGTGGACAGAGGGACGGACCAACAGAGTCACATATTTCAATCGATTAGCAATTTAATACCAATTAAGAGTGCAGGAGCAGTTCATTTCCTATGTCGGGCAAGCCCATTTTTGAAAAAAATGGAGATAACGATATTTATAGATAGAGCTTAACAAGACCGTTTTATTTGGAAACAGTTTATAGTCAAAAAAATTCAAGTTCCCTAAAATGTCGAAGATGGAAGTTTTAGCTGCATATGCTTATATTAAAGAGTGATTCAAGTCGATCTTATTCACTTGAAATTCACTTGATGCATGCCGAACTGACTACCGTTAAAAGAAGACAGAGGGTTGTGGCTGTAAAAAATCCGACGAAATATTTTGATTTCTCCTTGGATTTACAAACGGCACTTGTCTTAAGCTAACGGTATCAACTGAACGTAATAAGAGGAATGGGTCCTTATTGCGGTAAGAGCAAGCTAACCTGCATGTTAGCGATGAAACCGTAGTGTCGAAAGGATCGAAAGGAAAGTTTACAGAATGCGACAAACCTAGTGATGTGTGCATTGACCAGAATATTAACAAACTTGGCCTTAATGTGAATAAAAATTGCTCAGTCCAGCGACGATGAACTAATTACCATTGATCACAAATTCATCTACAAGCGAATGCAATTTTGGAAAATCAATTACTCGCGTATCCCTGGTGCGATAGTTATACCAAATGAATAAACATTTTTATGAAACTGAAATATATTTTGTTTTTATTATTAAAATGAGTAAAATGACTACAACAACTTTTCAAGATAAGAAGTCCGATCCATTTCCAATAGCGTTCATCAAATATTGTGACATGTATGTTGAATACAAAACACAAGCAAGGACATCAGGCCGACGAATGAACGAACAAAAAAATAACTTTAGACAATGGGAGGTGTTTCTATCTATCTATCTGGGCGTTGCATACATTTGGCCGAACTTAATATACTCTTGTACCACAAGTGCTTCAGATTATAATAACCAACCAATGTTGCAGGAGTCCATACCGCAATTGAAATTAAGACATATTGACCTATGTACACTGAAATTGCAGCTAAGTACTTGTTTAGTTTTTGCATTAGGGGGATTTTGTTCCCCTCAAGTCAAGCGTCTGGAAAACGTATGTCAGATTATGTAAAGCCGGCAAGAATGCCCTATACAAACGTTTTTCATGTACGTGTACACATGCACGTACATATAAAAAATTATTGCACTTTTTCTTTCTGGTTTTTTGTATGAGTAAGAAGAGATATCTATGATAGAAGCGACTATAAAATGTCCTTTCGTACAGGTGCGTTTTCTCTTCTGTATTTACAAAATGAGAAAGAAGAGGAGGCGCCGCAAATGTTATAGAATTATAATATCATTTAGAAAATATAATTTGTATATACACACACACACACACACACACACACAAAGAGAAAATGAAATTTTAATAAATATGAAGCGAACATAAACGCAAGCATGCAGCCATGTAATTATAATACTAATGGTCGTTGGATCGTTATTCACTTAATAAATTTAAACGAGAGTTCAATTAGAAAGAAAACCTTAAAGCATATTGTTTGCTTGTCTCATGCCATTGAAAATTAAATGAAATCTTTAGCAAGAGTTGCAAAACAGTTCTTCTTCTTACATAGAATATTTTTCTACTGATAAGCAATGAAAGCAGTTACCAATGGCTTGACCTTTTCCTCACTTCGTTTCATATAACTTATTTGTATATTCTAGATATGAATCGTTTAGAGAAATCACCTTTGCTGGCGAACGGTTACAATCCCCCGCCTATTAATCATATGGCCTTTATGCAAATTAATCATCATCCCGGTTCGGCATTAATGTCACCGGGTATGCCGCCGCATGGCTTACATGCACGTCCCGATTCACAAATGCTTAAGGCCGCCGCTCAAAGTGGTATGTCAGCGGCAAATATGGATGCTTTAGCAAGATCCGGTATTTGGGAAAATTGTCGTGCGGCCTACGAGGATATAGTCAAACATCTGGAAAGGTATTCCTTTTACTTTGTGTACGAACGAAAACAAAGGCTTTAAACGCAACTACATTTTGTATTTTCGATTGGTTCCTTCACAGATTGCGTGAGGAACGCACGGATGAACGGCAACAACTGGGAGGTAGCGGTGTCGGCGGCGTTGGCGGCGAACAAAAGCCACGAGATTTAAGCTCACGTAATTGTAAGTTTAATTTAAATTTTCTTTTGCATTTTTTACTCTATCGCATGAGTATTTTTATTTTTATTTTTATTTTACGCTTTACGTTAACAGGTTCTCCTAATCGTCAAAGTCCTGTATTGAATTTATCAAAGTCCGGCGGCAATACAGATCAAGGCAGTAATTGTGATGAACGTAGTGAACGTAGTGATATGCATTCTCCATCGCATACAATACGTGACGACAGTGTGGAGCGCAACAGTCGACGCAGTATTGGCGGCGGCGGCGGCGGTGGTGGTGGTGGCATGGGCAGCGGTCACGGCGGCAGTGGTATTATAGGTGTTGACGACGATGATGATGAAAATTTAAGTGAAGATAACGTTTCCGATGTCGAAGATCGTTTAGGCAAAGATGAAGAAGGTAATTAGGGGGAGGAGTGCGTTTTTTTCCAATTTTTGATTACCACTTTGTTGATATTACTTGTAAGCATATTTTTTGTTATGAATCGTTTTTTTTTTTTTCTTTTCTTTCTTTTCTTAGATTTAAGTGATAATGAACGCGATAATCTTTCCTCATCATCAACACAACGTCTTAGTCTGCCGCACAATATGTCTCATCATGGCGCTGGGGTGAGCGGAGGCGGCGTTGAATGTGTGGGTAGCGGTGGTTTAAATGATCGTGACTCTGCTTTACCCAGCTTAACGCATGGTTCACCTTCGCATAATGCTGCTGTGGCGGCTTTACAACATCAAAGGGCTTTGAATTATTCAACTTTAGCGGCGGCAGCTGCTGTAGCAAATGGGGCCGCTGGTCCTAATGGTCCCGTTGCGGTTCCAGTTAGTGGTGGCGGCGCTGTGCCTATGACACCAAGCGAAGCTTTATTATCTGCCGGTGATGCCTCTTCGGCAGCAGCTGCTTTAGCTGTCGGTACCATAACCTTAGGTCCCTTAGCCATGGATCCGGGTGTACCCTCATCAACTGAAACGCTCTTAAGAAATATACAAAGCTTACTTAAGGTAGCGGCGGATAATGCTAGGCAACAAGAGAGACAAATAACCTATGAAAAAGGTAAGTGAGAAATTTTGCTTTGTCAACTTTTTATTTATATCATCTCGACTCTGCTTTGGTATTTTTTACAAATATATTAAAAAAAAAAAAAAAAAAACCTTTTCTCTATATTTCCTCTTTTGCTTTACTTAGCTGAGTTAAAAATGGATGTATTACGTGAACGTGAAGTCAAGGATTCGCTAGAAAGACAATTAGTAGATGAACGAAAACTAAGAGGTAAGTGCACTACATTTCGGTATAACTTATGGCAGCAACACCGGATTAGGAAGAATAAAAAGCAAAAAGATCGATAAAGCGATCGATAAATAAATTTGTTTTATTTATTTCTACATTTTTTTTTTCTTTTTGTTAATCTTTCGTTTGCCTAGTCGGTGTCTTTATGGAATAACAGTCAATCTATCCAATCAATTATGCATACATTTGTATATACATACATATATGTCTTAATGTTTGTTGTCTCTTCGTTCAAGTGTTTATAATTCGTATTGACTCAAATGTTGTCCCAAAACGACACCTGATATCTCTGATAATGATTTGAAAGGGGGACCTTATAGTAATATGTAGACAGATATACGTATAAAAAATGAAGAAGAAGAATGAAAAAGAAAAGTTTTTTTCTTTCTTAGTACTCTTTTTTTTTTTAAATATAATTTAATATCTTTAAATGTTCTGCCATTGATTCGATTCAGTAAACACACGGTACACAACGTTTTTGTGTTATTTTTCAACAGAAATTATAATTCAAATAAATTTAATATCATTTGATTAGTTAATAACACATGAATAGGATTGATTTTCTACAGTGCTCACAATATAAGAGCGTCTTCGATTCGGTAAAGGAATCATTGCTGATAACGTATATGAAGACAGAGAAAATTTGTGATTTTTTTAAAAATTAATTTTTCAATAACTTCTTCTCACTCTTTCTCTCTGTTTAAAAGTGCATTTTGACGATTTGTTTAGAAAAATTCTGGAAAGAAATCTTCTTTGGATGTACATTAGCTTCTCAAAACGATGTCGTTCCAAGTTTGCGAAATAGAGCAAAGTGTTGTTTTGGAAACACGTTGAAAACCCACCAGCCGTCGTTCGGACAGTACTCTAATCCTCTAAAACCACCTATGCTTCGCCTTCCGCTCGTGAAGTATCACTGTAGATTATGGCTTCAAAATAACGTCGGGGAAGTCTATTGAATTGGACTTTCTTTTTATTTTCTCAATACTTAATGAAGCAGTGAATTGGTATGACCATCGAGTACTTTCTTGGAGCGCTTCTAGCCCTGGATCCGTACAGTCTGGCAAATGTTGTACTGCGTAGTTCTTGATCGCAAGCTATCTGCCTTTTGCCTTTCGCCACGAATATTTAAAAACTGTGTCTTCGTCCGTGTGAGAAATTAAGCCAAGTCAGAATAAAGCAGGATTTAAGTAATCGGTAGTAACAGGGAGATTACGACACCATTCGAGCCAATTTCTGGATAAACTTTTATAAGCAATCGCTTATGAATTGGGGAAAAAAGGCGATCAACTAAGTCCTCGTAAATCTCTGACTCCTCTGAAGCTCTTAACTTTTTTTACATCTTTCTTAGCGTTGAATTTGCAGACACAGATGGCTTCTTCTCATCTTTCACGTCTTCTGCGAATATGTGATCAAGTCATCTTTTGTAAATTTAATACAATATGACTTTTCGCTGAATATTTGCTAGTGACTCACCGCCCGTGGTTAAAAAATGTGGACTTTCTACTCAATCTCTGTTAAATAGGTTAGCATGCCGAGTCTCTAATACATTCACTGGCAAAAGACTATCTAAAATAAAATGTGCCCGCAACTTGTCATGGATGTTGCGGAAAGTGCTACCGCCACATAAATAAAACGTAAAGGTTCGGCAGGCGCGATTTACGAATTTCCGTTACTTTTTGGTCGAACTAAAGTGTTATATAATTAATGTAGCTATGCTGTATGTGCAAAAAGCGTCGTTACATCGTTTTCTTAAAAGATGAGTTTGCTGTGTCTGCGAGCATCTGGTTTCCCATGGTTTCTTCTTCGATGGACTTTATGCGATAGTATCAGACTAATGTGCACTACATAGCTTTTGGAACCTTTTAATAATTTTGCACCAAACAATACGCTAGATACGGGAAACATTATTATATCTGCTTAATTTGATGGGAAGCGCTGCATGGATTTCTAACCCATGACGAAAGATGGGTCAATCAACATCATGTAATTTGTCATGGTCTGCTGTCCAACTATCCTTCGAGAAAGCTATCAGGCCTTAGTGACCGAAAAAGCAAATTCATTGTAAATTCGGCCTCATATCGCTAAACTTGTCCAGGTGATGCTACCGGGACTGAAGTGGGATTTGCCACAGATTCCTTTTTCAGATGAAAAACTTTTTTAACCGACCATATATCGTCTATCTGAGCGCTTACACTCTATTATCACAGTCTCAAAGGATCAGTTGTTCATTTTCTTAGAGAATTCATGTATTTTTGAATGGATAAGAAGAATATGCAGCCAACGATGACTAGTACTTTGTATAAATTATTATCCCTTATTGATATCCGCTTGATAGTTGTTATTATCTCTTAGGCTATCATATTTACCCAAGAAATTTCAAGATTAATTATGGGCTTGAAGTTTTTGTGTTAAAATATTTTTAAGTGACGTGTTAACGTAAGTGGTTGTAAAAGATATATTGAATAAATTAATTTGGATTATAACCCGTTGAGCGGAATACATCGCAACGTAGCGACGCAAAAATACACTTAGATTCAGATAATGTGTAGTGAGTGGCTTAACTAAGGTTTTTTTTTTTTTCTCTCGCCTACATAATCCAAGCTGTAGGGCTAGGAAAAAATTATGTTTGATTTCCATGATAATGGGCGCTTAAAGGAATTTCGGCTAATGTTTGCGGACCCTTCATATATGCGAATTTCATTTATTTATACATATAATTCAGTTGATTCGAAAAGTGGTTGGGCTTCCAGACCAAAATTGTGGTAAAATACTTGCCACTGTACTGTATGGTATTCGTTTCGATGATACGATTCTAAATCATTTGCTGCAAAGTCCAATTTTAAGAAATTATAAGCACGTGCTTGCACATATATCACTCGAGCCTCTTTCGCTCAGCATTCTTCTAATTTGATTCTAATCAATTTGACTTTATGAACTACTACAAGCTCCTATATAACTGTTCGTTTTTCCTTCAACATTGCTTTCAAATTCGAAATAAATGTCATAACTGTAGAGTTTAGTCATCTTGCAGCATTTCATGCTTAGACCTATAATTTGATTCTCATTAAATTGGGTGCATGTATACAAGCACGCAAAGAATGTTTGCAATATATACTCAGAACAAAAAAAAAAATAAATAAACAAATATAAACGTAAATCCAACCATGTAATCATTATAAATTATATTTTATAATATTAACAAAACTGAAAACTGTAACATTACAACAATTGTGCCACATACGGACGCATTCAAATAAATAGAAACAAATGTTTATTATGGCAAAATTTGTCGGAGGAACCAAAAGAATAATATTCATCATGAAAGCATACACACGCTCACTTAGACACCCACAGATATAGTGTGGTTTCAGTGACGGCGAATCAACCAACCACAAAAAATGCGATTCTGCCGCATAAAAATTGCAAACGAACATTTAAAGTTAGGCACACACAATCACATATGAATTGGGTGGAGAAATGCAACTAAAATAGAAAACGAACCGAATCAACTAATTGCAGTTAATGGCATATAGACAGATAAACATGGAAAGACATGTGTGTAGCAATGACGCAAAGGAGACACTGAACGATTGTGTGTGCACATGCACATCTACTTGTGCATGTTCAAATTGAACTAAATATATATATATATATATATATATATATGCATGGAGCCTTGTTTGTATACAAGGTTCTAAATGAATAAAATTAAATGCAGTTTTGTTTTGAAAACATAGAGAGAGAGGCTGGTTTTTTTAAAGAATAACAGAAACGTGCGGTGCGGTTCGTTCGGAATTATTCACACTTGACTGACTACGGCTGATTGGGAGTGTCACCAGCAATTTGAATTTACCTCTAGCAGATTATTCATAAAGAAATTTTTTTTTATTTTTGTAAAAAAGAGAAGAACAAAAACGCAAAACTATTTCTTTTCATAGATTGAAAAATCCCTCTTTAGGAATTTACATCACAGAAAAAATAAGATATCATTGAGCGTCGATAACTAACCATTAAATCTAAAACAATCCAATTGAAAGATTAACAGACATCAACAGAAAAAATTCTCCCCTGTTTTTTGCTTCAAATTATCTTAACTGACCACACACACGCATGTGTCAGAGTCTGCCTGTCAGGCTCACCTACTGCACACAATCATTTAAACCTTTACATGCAATTGTTTCTTTAAAATCCAAATGCTGGCATTTGTGTAACTTGATCAGCCTTTAGAAACAAACACAGAGAACAAAAAAAAAAAATTATGCTGTTGCTCTATTAATAAATATTGAATTTCTTTTCTGTTTATTTGCTCATACAGTTTTATATCAGAAGCGTTATCGGCGTGAACGTAAATTGCGCATACGTTTTCAACAGCAACTGGAGGGCGGTGGCAAAAGTAAATCATCTAATGGCTCAACGACCAGTAGTTCGGGTAATGGTAGCAGTAATAATAATAATAATAATAACAACAATAGCAATAATGGCGGCGGCAATGGTGGTGGTCCTTCAACGAATCTTAATTGTTCCACTAATCTGGTCAACGATGAGGTGCGTTCATCGGGTTCCGATTCATTGCACAGTAAACACAGTGGCAGTGTTTCGGATTTGGCACGCAAATCCGAACAAGGTGTGTATTTTATTTAACAACAACTGCAAAAACAACATCAACATCTATCTAGAACAACATCAAAAAGAAAAAAAAAAAAAAACAAAAAATCTTAAAATTTCCAAATAACTAATTAATATACCCATTAAATATTTCATTCAAAATTATTTGTTGTTTTACTGTTGGCATTAAAAAAAAAAAATAAAAATATAATTTATTTTAAAACTTTTTTTGTTATGTAAAAAAATACGCCCTAATGCGTGTTCCATTTATTTTGAATCCTCCTTTTTAACCAACACAGCGTCCTCTGTTTCTTCTGCTTTCCCTTTACCCCCATAGATACTGATTGTAAAGAAAGTGAAAAGTCTGATAAATCATCATCTACCATATCCTCCTCCCTAAATACACAAGACGATCAACAACATAATTACAATAATAATAATAATAACAACATCAACAACAACAATAACAATAACAACAACAACAACAATAGCAACAATAACAATAACAACAAGAATCACCATCAACAACAATTACACCATCAGCATCGTCAACATTTACGTGAAAGTTCGGAAAGTCCGAATTTCAAACGTGAACCGACGTCCGATCATGAGAGCGGTTCAAATGGTGGCCGTCACAGTGCCGATAATAATCTGCGTCATCATCACATACAACATCTTCATCATCACGGTCTCACCCAACACCAGCAACAACAATCACAGCAACTTTCCGACCAGCACAACGATCACGAACGGCGCTCTTTGGACGATAGAGATGAACGCAACGAACGACGTAACTCCATCGATCGGGAATCTAATCATCCACCTACGTCTCAGGCTGAAAACAGCCTGGCAGTAGCTGCTGCAGCCGCTGCGGCTGCTGCCGCTAATAGTAAAGGCCAGTGGAATTATCCGGGCATTGATTTAATGGCCACTGGAGCATTTTGGCAAAATTATTCCGGTAAGTTTGAAAGAAAAGCAAAGATCTCATCCGAAATGCTGGCTTACTTTTGATAAAAAATATAAAGACAACCAGCCAAGCCTTTGTTAATTTACATATTCATTCACTTAGAAAATATTTATAAATTTTTCATAATTAAGTTAAGTCCATAAAACGTTACACATCTGTAGAGTAGTTCATCAAGTGTTAAAAAAAAGCAAAAAATTATACGTTATGACCGTCTCTTCTATATATCCTCACCTTTTTGGGAAGATATTGTGGAAAGCCCGTAGTGCTTACATATTTTTATTGGTGCAGTTCGGGGGTAATGAGGAAAAAATGCATTCCTTTTAATGCAAAAGTGTTCTGGGCTTATGTCATATCGTGGGCGTGTTCTCTGATCGATTTGGGCCATATTCAACGCTTAACTGAGTACAAAAACTTTCGCTACGCAGGCGGTTTAGTAAACAAAGACAGAGAGACAAATGAACGGTAGGACATGCCTATATCGAGTGAGCTTTTGATATTGATGAAGAATGCTTCTGCTTCATATGGTCTCTGAGGCGTGTTCCTGAACGTTGAAAACGCTTTGACAAAATGACTAATTGAAGGCGTTTAGAAAAAAGTTGACCGCACTGCTAAACTCATAATTCATAGTTTGTTGCTGATAGGAAGTCATGATTGCAGAGCTTAAGAAGCAAGGTGATTACATTTCTATCTATCTAGCTTACTGGTACACTCACTTATCTTGCAACTTATTTTCGCACATGTAGTAATTTAATTAATGAAAAAAAAGAAAAAAATTAAAGGGATATTCTGCGCTGATGAATGAAGAAGTGTATAAAAATTTGTGAACAGATATTGTTTACCTTTTCTTTTATGGACTTTGAACGTTATATTAGTTATTGGATCTAAAACGTATTAAAACCGTGGTATTATTTCACCGGATTAAACATTTTAGTATGTGATGAGGGCATGGCCGTAATTTTCCCGCCATGTTATACGAATCCGTTTTGTGCGAATATGTGCATTGTTGCTTGGAAATGTTTTTAAATGAAGATAAACTCCTTTCAAAGACCTTTGTTAGTGCATTAAAGATATTCGAAATCAACAGATCGGGGATTAAGCTGTGACTACATAACAGAGACTTTTTTTGGAGCTAACAGCGAAAAATTTTTTTGAAGTATTCAATATTTTTCACAAGATTCCAAAGGGTTCAAAGCTTCTATTACCCTGAAAAAAAATTCACAATGGCTTCCTTCGTTAAACTATTCTTCGATTTATCTTATCTCGTTGCCCTTAAAAAATGATCTGATAAAAGTCGAATGTAGAAAACTCTTACGTAGCTTATTTGCTTTTCTCTTTATGTGCTCTTCTTTTTTTTGCAGAATCTTTAGCTCAAGAAATCGAACTGGAACGTAAAACGCGTAGCGCGAATGCTGAACGCGATGTCAAAAGTCCTTTGGCTGAGCATCCGACAGCCTATTATAAGAACTCCGTACTTTTTGGTAGCGCGAATTAAAAGCGCATCCTTACAAATACGAATAAACTTGTGATTTAATAATAAACGATATGTGGGGAGACAAACTGCGAAAAATATCAAAACGAAAAAGTAATAAACAAAGTAAACAACAACTGGCTTAAGTGAATAAATGCAATTAGGACGATGGAGAAATCAATATTAAGAGGAAGAAGAAGAAAGACGAATAAAAGATGAAAAATTTTAGAAAAGAAATATGAAATCGGATCTCAAAGTGTAATTGCTGAAAAGAAAGGCAGCTGTAGCAGTTGGGAAAATTCAAGTAAATTTCAGAAAATCTTTTTCAAAACAAAATAAAAAGAAGTAAGAAAGTTATATTCGGTACGGGCCGAATCTCGCATACCCACCACTACGCTTTTTGCATTCTGCTCTCCAAGTTCTTTTATTTGATAGCCACATCACTGGTATTATTCAGAAAAAATTGATCGCGGCGTCTGCCATTTTCATTTTAGAGGTGGATAACATATTCGATTTAAACATTCTGTCCTGCCTTGTCTTGTTTGCCTATAATTTTTGTTAAGAAAAGCGGAGTTACGTTCATTTTGCGCTCTACTGCGCGCTTTTGCTCTGACCAATTCGGCCCATTTTTAAAACCCACCTGCTCAAACCTGCTATCAAACTTCGAGTCGATATCTTCATTTCAACAAAAACCACACAGGCATACAAACGGATAGGCATGGCTAAATCAATTCAGAATTTCACGCTGATTAAGAATATATATGTACTTTATAGAGTCTCTGAAGCTACCTTTTGGCAGCTGCATACACTAGGGAAAAGAGCAAAATGAGTGTACCCCCATCTTACAGTGGTGGGTGTAAAAAGGGAACAGATGATGTAAATATTAATTCTTATCATTATTATTACATTTTTTTTATGGATTCATACAAAATTTGTGAAATTCGAATAACAATAATAATAAGGAACAAAACGCAAAAATCCCTACTGTATATACAGAGAGAATAAGTTGAGATGATTAAACAGCTTAAGTAGAGATATGTTTTCTTTAAAAATATTTGTAAATATTAAGGTTAAGTTAAAATATTAAAACAAAAAAAAGAAATGCTTATTATTATTAACGATTTTATTATTTAATAAATACTATATTATTATTTATTTATTTTATTATATGTATATAGAGGCATGTATGCCGCAAAACACCCTTCAATGGCCTAACTATTAATTACTATGGTAATATATAAGTATTATCAAAGGAAAAACAAAAAAAAAGAGCAAGAAGAAGAAAGTTAAGCTTAAATCATGAAATTTTAGCAGCCGATAAATATATATTTTTTAGCCTTTAGATAATTTAGAATTTTAGCATTTTAATAATAAAATGGTTTTTATTACACTTAAATTAACAAATAATAAGATTATAGTTTCCCTCTTCTTCGCCCAAACGAAGTATGATGATAATAAACGCTAGGCTTGTTCGCCTAAATATTTATTATAATTAGAACGGTTTTTAATATTTAAATAACATACATATATATATACTTTTGTATATATATTTGTATATATATATTTGTATAAAATTCATTCATTCAATCATTTGTATGAATAGCTTTCTTAATTAAATCGATCATAAATAAATACTAAATAATAACAAAAAAAAAAAAAAAAAAACACATTTTAAAATAATTGTAAAATTTTAATAGCTAAACAATAAAATATAAAACAATAGCAGCAACAATCACAAAAGTAATTAAAACTACATGCAACAAAGTTAGTTGTGCTCGCTCTTGGAGCGAACATCGAATACCCACTATCACCTCAAGCCAACGGATATATACAGCATTTTACAAATAGACAGCATTTTATTTGACCGAAGATATTCTATCAAATCCAAGATCCATATTTGTTCGAGGCTACCAGGTCACTAACATTAATTATCTACACATCTTGAAGCTTCCTTTACTTTTCTCTTCGCTCTACTTTCGGATGCTTGGCTTGGTATCTTAGACGAAATAGATTTGTGAACCTAAGTAAGCTACATAGGTACCGTGATTCAACACTTTCCATCTCAATTCTGTTTACGTTTGAGAACATGAATAATAGTAGGCAACAATGTATGGACGGGTTATATATTTGTTGGGTGGTTCATCTCAAGTCTAATTTTAATCACATAAAACCCGTATCCATCCTTAATTCCTAAAAGACAAATTGGAACCAGAGGCCGGTTTAAGGATTATCGATGTCTCTCGATAGTTGTGGGTTAAGAAACGAAAAGTTTCCGGCTGTCGATAAAATGCGCCTTTTTCATATCATTGAATGAAAATTCTTTTGATTGTAAAATTGTTGCCGAGGAAGATACTCAAATTACGGTCGACAATAAACCGGCCTCTACTGTTGGCGAATGTGTTGTCTTGTAAATGATTTTATCGCAGATAACTTTGTCCGAAACGTATGTGTAGAGGCAAATATCTTGTCTTCTTTTTCCTTCTTTAGAAAAAAGTTCAAGCTATTGTCCGCGACTACATAAAAATGTTCGTTCATTCGTCGTTGGTGGTGGGTAATGAAAAAGAGATGACTTATAATTTAAGCAGCAGCCGTAACACCAATTCACCATCACAATCATGGAAAACAAAAAACAATTAGGCAGAGATCGTACATAAATGTAAAAAAACAAAAATAGTTAAACGCTTTCTATCGATAATAATAATAAAAAAAAAGCTACGCTTAATAAACAAAAGCGCAAAAAAAAAAACTGAAACTCAAACAATAACATAGTAATGATTATAATTATAATTAAGTTTACTACCGTAATTAATCTAATGATATATATACTACCATTACACATATAAACAACACAAAATACATACTTAATTATAATATTACACATATATACATATAATATATTAAAGGAAAATAATATGAAATAAATAAATTATTAATATTTAAAATGTAAACAGAACAAAAGTTGATGTTTTTTTAATTTAGTTTGAGAACATTTTTTTTTTTTTTTTAATAATATCTGAATCGGTCTCTTTAAAAGTCGCGCTGCAAAACAAACCCATATTTCCACTACAGAGGAGAGTTTTTAATTCTAGCATGATGTTCTTGGCTTTTGTGGCCAAAAGACTGAATAACCTGAGCAATGGGTAAGAGCACGAAAACCGGCATTTTCTCGTTGGCTGGCTGCACTTTGTTCTCAGAGCACATCTTAAAAGTCCATTATTCAAAACACTCAGTTCGGCATATCATACGAATTCGCAGCAATTTTGCTGTTGGTTAGTGATGCTAATGCAAAATTTGCTTAATCTCTCCCTCGGGCGAAAGTTTGCCGAGATGTGCCTTTTACGTTTTCTTCTTCGAGAACTATATGCGTTTCGTCTGTTCTTCCGTCGCGTTGTTTTGGTTTCTTAAAGCGCTTTATCTTGTTTTTAACTGTTGCAACGTTTGACCATATAAAAAGACTGGAGCTACTAATACAGAGAAAGAAAAGCAGAAAAGTTGACCATAATTTTGCGAATTTTGCCAGCCACTCAAACCAACATATTGGAATTGCGAAATATTGCATCAGCTGTGTCTATCAGCTGGTCGAGTTGAACCATTTTCCCATTGGTCTCATTGGTTGAGTATCTCTTGCAAGCAACGAATTACCGGTTTTATCCTATCGAGGATATGGTTGTAGGCTGATCGCGTTCAAACTTCCGTTAACATTGTAGATGATACCCGTAAATAGTTTTATAAAGCATCGGATCAATAAAAACTGCAGATGATGTATTTTTGTTCATTACTTGGATGGCCGTCAGCGTACCATCACCATTTCTGAACTTAATCCACGGTCATTGCATAGGTATAAGTATGTAGACGGATGGATAGACGAGTGGACGGATGGACCAATGAGTAGAGTTAATCCATTGAAAGTTTTTATACACGAGTTTTCTAAAGAACTACAAGCCGATGAAACGATTTAATACCTACTCGACGTCAGGCCGAATTCCAACAATAGAAAAAGATGGACAAATGGATCAATCAGTGTGAATCTATCCAAAGTCTTGCTTAATAGGGTTTTTCAAATTTTGTATAACGGATTCCAATAACGGAGTATAGATGGATGGATGGACAAGGGATCTCTCCTTATTACAATCTTACTTTATAGGTTTACGTTATTGATTTAAAATCGTAGCTTATAGAATCAATAATACGAACCTACCATGTTTACGAATGAATCGAAAAATTTATTATATCCCATCCTTCCTATTAAGTGTCAAAAAATTCAATTCCGTTTCAGTTAAGAAATTTCTGGTCAGCTTTTTATCGATCGAAGGAAGTCAAGTTTTGTTTGATCGTGATTAGAATGCACACTGACTGTTGAGTTTACATCAAAGCGAATTTAGTGAGGTACGACGTAAGCTAGGAATGCCCGAAACAACTTGATTCGAAAGCGACGTCACTCTTGCGCATTATTATGGCAAGTACCGTAGCAACCTTTACTGTATTTATAGTGTCACCTTTTGTTATACTGATTGATCGAAGATCATTTTCTGAACGGATTTAAGCGTGTCTGTCTGTTTGTCAGTATTGTTTTCTTGTATTCAACTTACATTTCGATGAAATTTTCACTTTTTCGTCCGTTTTGCATAAAACGCCTCGTCTCGAAAAGCCTTTATGTGAATATCTGCGGGATGGAGTGAAGTATTTAATGATGGCCCGGAGCCCACTATAGTACTTTTGCTTGTTTAAAAATTAAACTTTGTTGTATTAACTGATATAAGGATATTTTTTTTTTTTTATAATTCACTTAGAGTAACAGAATAAAGTTTTTTCTGATTTTCTAAGTATTTTTTTATGCAAAATTTTTTTTCAAATGCATATACAGTTTGCACTATCCCAGCAAGAGTTTACCGGATAGAAAGATAAATTCGATTAGAGTCGTGTTTCTTTTGATTACTTTAGCATTCATGCTTAAAGGGCTTGCCTGGTTTTGTGTAACCTTAATACTCTCTGCAGCAATTTTGTAATTTGTTGTTACTCACTACTAATGTTTATAATTACTACATGGGCTTCTGGCGGTGGTCGTAATTAAACATATACCTGGCTTAAGTGCTTCTTTTCTTATTGATAAGCAAGCTTACAATTACAACATATCAGTTATACATGAGTTTGAATGTGTATTCAATTTCAAGTGATGTAAAATTGCAAGAAAAGTGGCAACAGCAGGCACAAACACTGCCACATGGTGACGCTTGAAAAACAATAAGCAAAACTTTAAGAATTGTGCAAACAATAGCATTAAAGAAGTAAAGGAAAAATAAATATCGCGAACACACTAAAAACGCATGCTATAGTGCTAGAGAATAATGCACAAAAGTAAAGCGAGCGTCAAGAAAACAAAATACAAAAAAAAAAAAAAAAAAAAAGCGCAGAAAAATATAATAATAATTCAAAGGATTACCAAAGAGATCTTTTAAGTAAATTGTATTATATATGTATGTAGCTGTTGATGTTATTGTTGTCATGAAAGGTTTGTATGTGCACTTTATAAGAGGGTAAAGCTTCATTTTGTTTATATGTATGCATGAGAAAGAGTTCTTACACGCGATCTGTATGTTGTGTCTTTCTTACAAAATTCTATAAATTTTAGTATATGTTGTGCGCGCCTAAGCACACTTCACTCTTGTAACATGTGCTT